CATGGACTTTTGCTATCAAACAACACCTTTTTCTATGTTGTTAGACGTCTTTGGGCGTAACATGATACAGCATTTTTAAATGCAGAACTCTTTAATGGACACAGAGCAAACAGGACAGTTAAAGGATGAGTGCTCAAACTGGTGTGTAATTAGGGGAGTACCACAGCAGTCTGTATTAAGACCAATGGTCTACTATATCAAAGACAAAGATCAGGATCCAGGGTAGGCAACATTGTCTCTTCCAGTCCAAGGCTTTGTTCCAGATAATCCTTAACTAACAAAGTGATTGTCAGTACCTTTGGTGATTAAGCAATTAAGGATAATTTCAGAGATTAGTTTACCAGCAGGTTTAAAGAAGACTACAAGGTGATGGGATTTAGGTAGTAAAAATATTCAAAGATTCACAAGCAACTGAAAAAAAACAAACAATTCTATTGACTTCTTTAGGACCCAAGTGAATCTGGAACCAGAGGACACAAATGGAAATTAGGGAAAGTGCATTTAGAACAGAGAACAGGATGCACGTCTATATATTAAAATGCTCAGGGAGTCTGCAGTAAACTGCCTAGCTTACGATTCACTTGTATGGCTGAATAAGATCCTGGGATAAACTATCTGCTACCGACCAAACGAGTTGGGCGAGCCGAATGGCCTTTTCTGGTTTGAGCAATTTATGTACTTGGAGCAAAAAACAATCGGTATTTTCAAAACGCCTTTGTATTTTTTGACAAGGGGATTATGTTGTGGCCAAACAACTTCCTCGCCAGTGATGCGGCTTTTAGGCCCTGGAAAAACGTGAAATATACATTGCTGCACTGAAACAGGTTGGTGTATGGTAAGAGTGCTTGTGAAACGTACTCACGGCGGTGATGAGAAGAGCATTCTGCCTCCTGGAGCTCGCAGGTGACTGTTGCATGTATCGTGCAGGTACAGCACAGATCACCATAAGACCACCTCCCCCTACTTACGGAACTGACCCAGGTGCACCCACTCTGCAAAGGGGACAGTGTTTTATTTGAGCCATTTCTTTCCTAAGCCGCAGTAAAAAAGGAAAGAATAATGTAAGCCTGCATGCATTTCATCTGTGAGTTTTATCCAACATTAATTCTTGAACAGCAGCATTCTTTGTGTGGTTTTCTGATCCCGGGGGGTCTGAACGGTGACTCTTCTGTGATTTCGTCGGACGTTCGAAAAGTAGCATTCGGTATTATGGAACAAATCAGATTAATGTTAAACTACGCTCACGTTTTTTTCAGTACTGTGTGACAAACTCACCTGCAACTACAGTAAACGTGGAAGAAAACAGGACGAACAACAAACTATTGAGACTCAAAAACCTAAACATGATTTCGCTTTTGTCACTTACCCAAAAAGTGTTCGCTGTTGGTGGACAACTTCCTGTTGAAAAAAACTCAGTGCTTCTGTTGGCGTGAGCTTTTAAATTAGCAAATGCAAGCTTTCAGTAAGCAATTGAGCACGAATCATCGATTTGCTTTGCGTTTTATTTCTTTGCGTGTTAAAAAGTGTAATGAAGTATATTTAGAATGGTAATCTTGCACATTATTTTTAACCTTTAACAAAGTTGGGAATATCAACCAAGTCAGGTTTTGACGTCTATATTTTACAAAAAATCTCACTCGAATGTGAATATGTCGCTATTTTTAAATAAAAACTATTTAAAATAAAAAAATGTATTAACCGTTGTTACTGTAAGAAGCCCTCAATAGTGGATTAACAAGAAAATAAACCTACTGCTTTTTATCTGTTTCTGTTTAGACTGGCATAGTTTTTAATGTTCACCAAACTGCAATGTTAACATATATTTAAAAAATTAAAACTATAAATCACAAATGTCAAAAGTTTTATAATATTGTTGGACATGCAATGCAAAAGAATAGAGTAAAACTCACATAATAATAAACTATTTTATATAGCACCTTTAAAGGTGGCTTCTCAAAGCACTTAACAGAACAACAACACAAAAATACACAATGTAAACACAGCAAGAGGAGATAGTACATGGGGGTAGAGAATATAGGAGCAAAGGGGTATATAACAGAACCAGCTAAGTAAAGGCAAGCATGAGGATAGTTCAACTTCTGTCTCATCTGTCCACAGAACATGGTTCCAGTAGTGCTGTGGAACATCCAGGTGGTCTTTAGCAAACTTAAGACAGGCAGCAATGTTTATGTTGAAGAGCAGTGGTTTCCTCCATTGTAACCTCCTATGAACATTTTTAATGGTAGACTCATGGACACAGATGCTATCAAGTGCAAGAAATACCTGCAAATCCTTAGCTGTCACCCTAGGGTTGTCACCTGTTTGAGGATTGTACAGCATGGCCTTGTACTGATCTTTGTAGGATGCCCACTCCTAGGGAGAGTAGCAGTGGTGCTGAATTTCTTCCATTTGTAAATTATCTGCCTGACTGTGGACTGATGGAGACCCAAGTCTTTAGAAATCCTTTTGTAAACCTTTCCAGTCTTATGAGCTTTATCAACTCTGAGTTCCTCTGAAATCTCTTTTGATCAAGCTATATTGCACTTCAACAGAATACTGTTGTGAAGAGCAGGTAAGCAAACTTGTGTGATTTTTTTATACGATAGACCAGGTCAAATCCACACCTGAATTAATTGGAATGCCTGACTCAAATTACCCTCTTTTCAAGATGTCATTATCCTCGAGGTTCACATACCTTTTCCATCAATGATCTTGATTGTTTAAACTACTTGTTCAATAAAGATTTGGCAAAGTAAAATGGTGTGTGTGTGTTGTTAAATAAGATGGTCTTTATTTATTATTATGACTTAGATGAAGATCAAATCACATTTTAGGAGCCATTCATGCAGAAATCCAGATAATTTCAAAGGGTTCACAAACTTTTTATCACAACTGTATCTGCCTTTATTTTATATTTTTTTAAACACACCATGGTACCTTACTGGTCAGTTGAATTACAAGTACAGTTAAATTTGAGCTTTCATGTGCAGATTCTGCATGTACAGTGCCTTCAGAAAGTATCCCCCCCCCCCACTGATAATTTCTTGTTCTGCTGTGTTGCAAAGTCAAATTAAAGCAAATTTAAATGGGATTTTTTTCCCACTCCTTTAGAAGTAATTCTTTATAAGGTTAAAATGAAATAATTGTAGTATTGTGAATTATTCACTCCCTTTGTTTTAACAACCTAAATTGGGTGAGGTATTCATTTATCTGGAGAGATCACACTAAATACGTTAACAAGGTACACCTGTGTTAATTTCAACTCCACCGGTGGTTAATTGCTTGATTGCACAATAAATATCACTGACTTGGTAAGGTCTCACAACTGAAATAGCAGATCAGATCAGTCCTGTTGTCGTGAAAACCAAAGAGCTGCCTGTGGAACTTCGAGATGAAGTTGTTAGGAGGCAAAAAGCTGGAGGAGGTTATAAAAAGATTGGTGAAGCTTTGAACCTTCCTAGGAGCACCATGACGTCCATTGTAACAAAATGGGAAAAACATGCCACAACCCAGACACTACTAAGATTGGACTGTCCTACCAAATTGAGCAAGTGGACAAGAGTGGCAACTGTCATAGAAGTGACCAAGAGGCCAGCTACAACACTGACAGAGATGCAGAGCTCTTTGGCTGAAATAGGAGGAACTGTCCAGACATCAACAATCTCTTTAGAGACTTGGCCTCTTTGGGAGAGTAGCTACTGTAGATGGAAGCCACTTCTGAGAAAGGCCAACATTAAGTCATGCCTGGAGTTTGCTAAAAGCCATGTGACAAAACCTGAAATTGTTGTGGTCTGATGAGACTAAAGCTGAGCTCTTTGGCCTGAAAGCAAAGCGCTATGTTTGGCGCAAACCAAATACAGCCCAACACCCAGGTAACACCATCCCTACTGTCAAGTATGGTGGTAAGCAACATGCTCTGGGGCTGCTTTTCAGCAGGAGGAACTGGAAAGCTTGTTGCCATCAAGGGCAACATGGAGCCAAATACAGGCAAATCCTTGGGGAGAACCTATTTCAGTCAGCCAGAGATCTGTGTTTAGGGCAAAGATTCCTTTTCCAGCTGGACAATGGCAATGACACATTGCAAAAACTATCAAGGAATGGCTTGGGGGGGAGGTACGTATTCTGGAATGGCCCAGCCAGAGCCCAGGCTCTGATAATCTGTGGTATGACCTGAAAATTGCTGCCCACCGACACCCTCCATCTAATTTGGCAGAGATGGAGCATATTTTGCATTGAAGAATGGGCCAAAATTGCACAATTTAAATGTGCAAAGCTCATACAGAAATACCAAAGAAGACAGACGATTGTAATTGTTGCTAAAGGACTATGTACAAAGTATTGACTCGGGGGGTGCATAATTTTGTAAATGAGAAATGTAAGTCTTTCATTCTGGAGAAATGAATGTTCTTGAATACATTATTTTTTTCCTTTTTTGTTGACTTTATTGAAGGGAGAAAATTATTTCCATGTATTAAAATTGAGATGTAATAGGAAGAAAATATGGAAAAAATTCAAGGGGGTGAATACTTTCTGTAGGCACTGTATGCATCTTTGTACCCATTTAAAACAGTACAGGGTCAGAAGGGAGGCCTAAGGCACAGGATTTAGTCCTAAAGAGATTAAAAGAAAAGGAATGCGTTGAATTAGTTTTGTGTATCATTACTGGCACCACTTTACACTTTTCAGGGAAAACCGTCTGGAAAAAAAACAAACAAAATCGAATTTGACCTCAACGTGTTTAAACTGGAAAAGGGGTCATTCAAAAACCCATGTTTCAGAACCGTGCCATTATCAAAATATGTTTGTCGCAGAGGGGAAAACGAGAACAAAAACGGAGCAGAAAAGGTATTCAAGGACTAGCATTAATTGGATTTTTCTAACTTCAGTATTTTTTTAATACTTTGGACTGACGAGTTGAGAGCCCTTCATCCTTTTCTAAAAAGCATTTTTCAGCCAGCCCTCTTAAATCAGCTTACAAGGAACACAAACATCCAGAAGCATCATCTTAAGAAAGTTTATTTCCAGAGGAGTGAATGAGTGATACACAGTATGCAGACTTGGTCTTTCTTTTGAGAGTGGCCCTCTTTTGAGCTTACTTCAGTGTTTATGCTTTGCAATGACACGTGGCACCTTTATTTAAAATGCATACAGAAAGCACATGCCAATGCTCCACAACTCCGGCTGGGCTTGTGCTTAATTTGAAGCTGAATCTGAAGAGAGCAGAATTAAAGCACTGCTTCGTTTATTAAAGAATTACAAACTTAAACAAAACTGCAGGGAATGGTTTTGTAAAACAGAAAATGAACACACCATGGTGACAGCAGAATAAGCTTTGGCTCCAAAAGCTCTCTTCTAAGTCCAGAGACAGGAGGCAAGTTTCTTGTCCTCTTTTGTAAAAGTGTTCAGCTGATCTTCCTCCTACATTGTAACCGATTTCAAATGGTGCTAGAAACTGAAGATGACTCTGAACACCAAAAGAAATCGGTCAGCCTTGGTAAGAGGCCTCAGGGAGAAGGACACCGTATTAGAAGTTGAGTCTTGTCTCTGTGGGTTATGAGTCTCCATGCTGATGCTATGCTATTGGTTGTGGTGCAGAATACATTTCTTATAGTGTTTTTCTCTCAAGGTTCTGGTCCTCTTTCCTGCAGAGGCACAGTGTTTTTTTTGGCTTTCCAGCTAAGTTCTTAACGTCTTTAAACGTAAATTCCTGACTTAAATGGTCCTAATTCCAACTGTTTCAATGCCTTTGAGGAGTTTGAGTATCCCTCAGCACCTGTGGATCTCCAGGATCTTCACATAACGGATCTATTTGCTATTCCAGTGCTGTTTCTCATTAAGTTCTAAATATTTCTCTAGCTTTGGAAATGGAAACGAGATGAAAACATACATCAGCGGATGGCACTGCAGTGCATTCTCATGGCACAGTAATACATTTTACTGTTTCTATTTGCTGTCTATAAACATGCATGTTTGCTTACTATATATATTCCATTCTATACATACATTGAATTCAATAGGCTAGGATACATAGTCAAATTTTCCTTGCACAATAATGAGTGAATCAAACACTAGAGACATCAAAACAATCGTCACATGTCCGCTATGAATCAACCACTGCCCACGTCTGTGTAATCCTTTGGAAAAATGAGCTCCTTTCCTCCTGACGGGCAGCACTGCGTGGGTGACAGCAGGGCTGGTCTCTTTAGGCAGGCAGGCTGGCTGGCGATGTCTCTCTTGCTCCAAGAACACTGATTTCAAATGGTGCTAGATGAAAAACATGAAGCACTCTAAGCCACCACCTGAAACCAGCTTCCAGGAGAAGACCCAAGCCCCTTCTCCCATTTATTTTGTAAACACTCAATTTTTGTAAGCTTCTTAGGAGAAGTGCTTTCAAATGAAGTAGCTGGCAGCAGGTTAAAAGGATCTCTGTTTGCAGTCCCAAACTCCCTCGACACTGAAAATAAAACCCAAGGTTACATTAGTTACTAAGCAGGTTGTTGGTGCTCTGCTTTAAAAGCCTATTTCTATTGAGTATTCCTTCATGCATCAAATATACCTGTATAACACAATACATTTTACCATAAAAGTAACATTTTCTGTATAATAAGATATATGCACTAGGTTTGTTTCAAAATAGTTTAAGATTTAAAAAAATAAGCCTTTGATGGATATGCCTGGTATAGGAATCCTTACATAATGAAAATAACAATGGGAAGCAACAAGCAGGTTTATCGCATGCCAAGAATTTCACCTCTGTCTAATGTCCCTAGTACTGTGTTATACTTCAAAGTGCTCACTATGACATATCATGCTAATGAAATGAAGCTGTAATTTAAAAAGAGAAAAGTACTTTCTGTACAAAAGAAAGATGTTATATATATATATGTTTTTTTATGTTTCTGCAATCTGGAGGGTATTTGGTGTGGTACTTAATTACCCAGTTCAGGATTCATAGTTTTGGGAAGACTGTACTGATTGGAGACATACAGATTAACACTGATAGTATTAAGTACGGCTTTCAATGATGCAAAGACACAAAGTAAGCACTGCAGCCGACCGGTGGAATTTCAGATTCAGTAGAATCTGATACAAGCGTGTGAACACAGGCTCTATGCCAGAGAAGGGGTTCACTGCGTGCTTTACACTCAAGAGCGCAGGAGGAGAAATTTCGACTGACAAGCTGACCTTGTAACTTAGACAAAGACCTACAGCACAAGGTCATCACCCCACTCATAAGAAACAAGTGGAGGCCATTTGACCCATCTAGTTTGGTAGCTGGATCTGAGGATCTAATCCTGCCAATGTGATGTTAAAACTCTACAATGTACTAGTAAGACCTCACTTACAATATTGTGCAAAATTTTGGTCACCCAGGCACAAAAGAAATATTGTAGCTCTGGAACAAGTCTGGAGAAGAATGACTAGGCACATTCCCATGCTAAAAAAAAAGTCCTACTCTAACAGGCTAACAGAACTCTGAACCCTTTTGGTCTTAGACAAGTCTATGATGAAGTTTGATTCAAGTAATCATAATTGTCATAGGCTCAGCCAAAAGTTACCCACTAGATCCTGATCTTCAGGATCAGAAGTGAAACACAAACCAGAGTTCACAAATGAAAATTACAGGGAAGTGTCTTCACAACAGAATAGCTGACACACTCCTATATACAAAGGCTTCAGGTTGTTTGGAAGAAGCAGGCCAATCAAGTTTCTCAAGTTAGAACCCTGGCTTCTTTCAAGAAACAGCTGGATGACATCCTCGGAACAATTAGTTACTATAAAACAAACAAAAAAAATGTTGTTAACCTTAATGCAGGCATTGAAAGCAAGATATTCCACAAATCCACACAGTCTGTACTTTTCTTTCCTGGAAAGACAGGAAAAAACATTTCTTGAGACATTCTGCCAATGGTTAAGCTGCACAGCAATTTCAGTACAAACAACTGCAAAGCGGCGACAGCACCTTCTAAATTAAAAGTTGACTGTTCCTTTAAGTACTCATGGCATACAACCAAATTCTTGTTTTGCACTTAAATGAAAAATCACAGCAAACAGCATACTGTTTCAGTATAAAATCAATTTCTACATCTAGTCAAAAAACATTCAAATTCAAACACCAGTTTCTGAATCCTAAATTGTAGATACAGATCTAGATAGATGTTAACACAAAAACGTAAAAAAGCCACTCTGGCATCCAGTAACTTCCTTCGTCAGATAAACAAGTGTATTATTTTGTTGAGTCATAACCTACCAGTATTTTCTTCTCTCAATAGACGTACTTGCAGAGTTGTTTTTTCTTTTCTGAAAGCATCAATTCTCAGCCTGTTTGTTGCAGAGGCATGTTTTAAGCACTTGAAATTTTGAAAAAAAACGCCCTTTGACTAGAAATTTAATACAGCCTGGCCCATTCATGTAGGGCAATTATCTCAGTGCCAAAGTCCCAGGGAGAATCTGTCAAAGAAAACACAACTGCAAACCAGGAAACTTTAATCTTGTAAATCTCCATTAACAAGGAAGTATTTTTCCATCTTTTCTTGATAGCACAATCTTGCAGGAATCCTGTACTCCTAACTGAATGAAGGAAACGTAAATCTGAAGTTAAAACGTGCCCTTTTAAAAATATATCTGTTTTTGAAGACAGATGATACCTAGTCTTTTGTCACTGTGTAATTACTGAAGCAAAAACACACCACTGGATTTTGTTTTTGCTGTAAACAACCGTCTTTCCATGTGTAAACAGTTTTTTTTTCTCTGGTGGCACAGGACCCTGCAAACAAATCAGGCGTTTTTGAAATATTACAAAATAAAATGTGTTGTGAGATGACATCTTGCTGAAATCTTACTCTGTCAGTTGGTCTGAGGGTGAATTTTTAAGGAGATCTTGTGCATTTTTAAAAGACATCTCAGAGGCTTTATAATCATTTTGACAGGGGTAGAATAATGCATAGGACCGAATACAGAATTCTGTAGCTTGGCTGTTGTGCAGAAATAATTTTTACCATAAACAGAAATCCTCAAAGAATGGCAGTGTGATAAACATGAATTCATCTTGCATCTTTTTTCTTTAACTACAATGCTAACTGTCATTTTTCCCCACACTTTACACTCGTATGTCTTGCCTTCTGCTTTCTTTTCACATTGAAAGTACAAAAAGCATAAAGTATAACACTTTATTAGAAAGTACTTACCAAGTTCAACTGAGGTATTAACTTGGTCTAATGCAGTAAGGCATAGTTAAACTGTAGGAAAAATAATAGCAAGGTATAAAGACAGTGAAAGCACAACACATTTATCAAGCTAAACGTCAGTCTCTGAATCTGGAATTACAGTAACAGTAACTACAGTAACACTATTCATGTGAAAGATGAACAAATTACAACTAGATTCGATTAACAACGACTACATAACACGGTAACACAATAAGAAATCGATTTAAGTACAAAATTAGCAATATATTAGCAGCAGGGGTAGATGATACTTGTCAAATTAAAATTAGTAACACACTGGACATCTGAATCTAACAGGGCTTTATAATAAAACTTTATTACAGCTTTACCCAGTAAGCAATTGATCAAACTCTTAAAAAATGAAAACTTAATTTTCATTTGATGTTAACTTGTGGCTTAACAATCTTTGGTGGGTCGAAAAGGAGAGATGACTTGTCTCCCTGTTAAATTATGTCTTGATTACCAGGAAGGAAACATGACGCTGTCTAAAACTTTCTGCATAAATATTGTACTCCGCTGCTTTTTCCAGTGTGAAACATTTGCTCAGAATAAGATGTCTCTAGCTCCTCCCTCTAAAAGCCATTACCTCATTGTTAGGATGTCACACCCCTTGTCCACTAATATTATTCCTCACCCCTCCTCTCCCTTTGACTGACCTTATGATAAGCGTTCTGTGTTATGCAACACTATCTGAAACTCCAGTGGGAGGCTTATTAGACTGGTACTTTTGTAACTTAAATAAATAACAGTGTACATTCTGCTCCCTTCTAAACTCTCCATCTGGAGAATATTTTACAGTGTCTCCCTTTTTTAAAGCCTTAAAGCCTTAAAAGCAGAATGTGCCTGGCTTAATTTCTATTACTGTTACTGTACCACTAAGGTGAATGGGGCTTATCAAATTTCTGACAGTAAGCTATTTTGTGTGGAAGGACTGCAGCTCATTTGCTTTGACTGTAACTTTAACTACATGGACAAAGCCCAGCCACAGAATACACGGAGTTGTACTGCAGTGTGTATTACGTGACTTAATAAACAATCCAAATTATTTCTTCATTAGAATTTCTAAAAACGTTTAGCTTTTTTCAAGGCTAAATGTCCCCCCCAAGTTAATTATTTAAAAACTATGCCACCTTACAGTAAAACAAAATAAAGTTTATTTATGCATTTGCTTGGTTAAAACGCCTTTAGTCGGATAAAGTTATTCACCTCCCATCACCACTATTTCTCTCCCATTAAGACAAGCTGGGGTAAGTGAAATATTCCAAAAGCGGGGAAAAAGGAAAAGCCCAGGTTCAAACTGCTGTTCACAATAAAAGAGAACCAGTTTTTGTGTGGAATGGCGCAGGCCGTCTGTTTTACCAGCTAGCCTAAAAAAAAATGCGAATGAACACAAAAAAATTCAGCTCTAGGTGTTGTGACTGATTGGGATCATCATTTTGCACTTTACAATGTCCTACACCTTACACCACAATATTTTCCGCATTTACATTACCCTCTATTACTATTATCTAGCTCTTTAGGTTATCTGGTAAGTAAACTGTATACATTAGTTGGGGTATATAACACATTTGCACAAACAATGCTTTTTATAGTACTTTGGAGCTAATGAGGAAAGCTCTCTGAAAGTGAAACAAGACATACTACAGCAGGAGTGGGGAAGGGTAGTGGAGATAGCAGATGCTATAGATTCATTTTCATCTCACAATGCCTGAGTGAGTTGCTTGAGTGTAACACAGCCTCTGGTGCTGGTACAAAGGCCTCTGCCTCAGCCAAACCTGTCCTTTCCATCAAGTCCCCAGCATGATAGTTTGAGCTGACACATAGATTATTTGGAATTTCGACACCTCCTGCAACACACTGATCTTACAACTGAAAAACATAAAAGATGTCTTCCGTGATGAAAAATCTCTCACATGGGTGAGCGCAAAGCACTTCTTGTGTTTAATGTTTCACTAGCGATTGATTTTTGTTGCCAGAATAAAACGGCTTTGTGAACCATTCGGAGAAAGCAATTGTCTTTTCTCAGCAGTATCCCAGCTTCAAATTCTTTTTTTTTTTTCCACGAACCACACCCAGCAAACTGGAAGCTTGGAAACACTTATTGATTTCTCGTACTTGTCACTATTTCTGCAGGTATTCTAAATATCGTTTTAAGCAGTACACACAGTGCCAGAGTAATTGAACAAATAAACCTATCTGGCTCTAGAAAAATTAAATACGCAGGCATTCAAAACCACTGATTGGGATCAGAGCGTTCTGTACCGTTTATTGTTTTGCTTTTAAATTAGACGATAGAGAGAGAGAGAAATTCAGAGAGCTAGACATTCCCTCCTGTCTTTAGGCGTCTGAACCTCAGTCATGTTTTGAATATAATAGTACAATGCATTCTGCTTGTTTTTTAAATCCGTAATCTACGTAGTAAATTACAGCAGCAATACACTTTAGAGCCTTTTTAGAGCAATCTGTCCATTTGACATTATTTATAATCTTTTGTACTTGCACTCACAACATTGTGCTCCTTATTTTCACGGCAGCCCAGGCACAGAAGAAGCTTGTGAATTTCAGCACGCAAGGGCATACCTCCGCAGGGCTGAAGGGCGTGTAAGGTAGTGGCCAATTCTATCACTGAACTCGGAAGATGTGGCCTTGCACAAAGTTGGCTGTGTCTCTCCTTACCCAGAATCCTTTTTTGGCAGGTAACCACAGCACCCCCCTCTCCTCCCACGACTCAATCTCAGTCTTTTTTTTTTTACTTTCTGGCCTTTACAACAACAACAACAAACACGGCTTGTTCTTTCAGCGATTAAACTCTCATACAAAAAAGCAAGAATGGAAAAGCTAAACGCAGCACCAGAGTACTTTTTTTGAATACATATTTTCTTTGTTTCCAACAATGGAAGGAAGAAAAAAACAGCTAAACAAAATGTACAAAGCCAGAGAAAGAGCGCACGTATCTGATACAGCTCCATTTCGGGAGATTCCACAGACATGACAGAGGACATTTGTTAAACAGAAGAGGGGGAGAGTGTGTCTTGTTCATGGGTTTCTTGTTGTTTCTCTAATTTGAGTTTTTTGGGAGCTTTTTTCTGTTGCTTGTTGGTTCAGTGCATTCAGCCTGTTGTGTAATGTTTATGAAAGATTTAAAGGGACTGTATCGCTTTATGTGTCCTCAAAAATGTCAGAAGTCCACCTCAGTCCCAGCAAATCTCCAGGAAATATGAATACTGCACTTTGTTATTATTTCCTTGTGGTGCTTCAAGCCTTTCAAAAAAGATAATCAGGCCATTTCTTTTTCTTCATTTGGCATTTCAACTTGTATGTTGAAATGAGAAATGAAACACTATCCTCAAATAAATATTCTGAAGGATTCCAGACATAGTTAAGTAGTAAAACTAGAAAGAAACTGATACCAGGGTCCATATACTTGTTGGCTGCTATATGTTGAATTTGGAGCTGTAAAACACAGACAAAACATAGCTCTGCTCAGGAGTTCCACAAAGCACTACTAGTTGGAGTTACTGTGTTTGACTAAGCCTCATTTGAGTAGGTGAGGATCTATTTATACAGATGTACCACATTGAGCTTAACTTAAATAAGAACAGAGAAACACTAAGATCGCATATTAAAATGTAAAAAAAATACAATTTCTTAGTTATCACCCATGTGCTGATCTGTACTGATAGAGCAGGTCCCCAATACCAATATCACTTTTGTACAAACAAAAGAATCAACTTACATGCATGGGGTCTGGCTTTGGAATTGAGGAGTCACCCATAGGACAGCACCACAGAACTGCATGAGAACCACAAGCTGTAACCCAAGTGCCACTTGCGGGAACGCGTACAGATTACTGCCAGTAATGCCAGTAATCAATAGATTACTGCCAGAGTCTGAGGCAGAGACTACTATGGGCTAGGCCCACCAGCTTCTTCCAGCTCCAAGTAAGTGACTTGACTGCAACAGATACACTGTGCCATATAAGCCCTGCTACTCTGTCATGGTGTTATAAGGAACATTCAAAGTAAGATATGACACAAAAGTGGTTCTGTTTCAGTCCGTTATGTAATTTTCACACACGTAAGACACTCTAGATCACATTTTTTCAGATCTTGATCTAGTAACTCCAGCATCTGCTGGCTTTCAGTCCGCTTGGGCTTTTAATTACTTCATTGGGCCCTTTACTGATCTAACAATTTGATTATAAGTGTAATTCTAGGCCGCGTGGAGGTTAGTGTTGCTGCCTTAAAGCTTTCTATTGGGTGTCTCTAAATTCCCTCTGAGTGCCTGTGTGTATGTGTGCCCTGCAATGGTCTGCTGTCCGGTCCAGAGAGAATTCCCACCTGGGTTTCCATGACCCTAACCAGGAATATATACCCTGTTGACAGTGGACAGATAGATGGAACTGTTTTATTGGTTGCATCTCTTACAATAGAAGAGACTTAGATTTCCACATTAAGATCTACAGCTTTTTAGCAGCTGAAAATGATACCAAATGGCTAATTATGTAAATAATCAGTTTAAACAACAGACAGCTCTGATGGAATGAAATGCCAGCACACACTGGGGTCACATGGAACGAAGGAAGAGACACTGTTAAGGGATCTGTTGTCAGCATTCTGGGAAATCAGAGCAGAGAACAGGTGCTAGGGTGTGGTGTAGTGCCAATAAAATTACTCCACATGTAGGGGCTCCTGCTTACCTTTCATCATTCAGAGCTTTCATTCAGATGCCTGCATTTGAGCACCAGAGCCCAGACTTGGTTCAAACTCAGACCTGCCACAGTGGCTTTGCACAAGCGGAGTACATTTGGTCAAATGTCACTGGAGGCTGGCCAGGTGTAAGCCGACCCAGAGTGATCTGAGCTTATCAGAACTGCTGCCGCCCCTGCGACATGCCGGGTACCTGCGAGCCTGCAGCGCTGTCAGTGAGAGAGGAATTCTCCAGTCTCTACTCTGATGTACAGTACAGATGCCCTGAGACTCCCAGAAAGAAAAACGGCAGGTGGCTCTTGGAAATACTTGTTTTGGGTAAAAGTCAACAAGGCCCTAATCCTTTATATGGTAGTGTGAAGGACAGAGAATTAAATTCCAGTTCATTAACACTGTAATTCTGAAAGAGGAAGAAGACAGAAAACAGACTTCCTAGATCTCAAATCGCAGAGCCCCCATGTTGTCATTGTAAGAAAGGGTCAGAGGGATACCAACAGTGATAAACTTAATGCTGTTCATCGACTTGACACTTTAATAATATTTTAAAATGCCTGGTCAAATCCAGCTGTTTAAAAACGTTTTGCGCTTCAGATACTAATAAAAATAACTGAAGGGGACACAGTAGAGGTTGTAAACTAAGTACAATCATAAATTAGACATCTAGTAAAGTTTTATGTAAAGCCTATCTGTTTAAAACACAGTGTAATGTCATGCTCCAATAGAGGCCTTGAGATGAGGGACAATTCCTTATCATAATGTTACATCACAGAAGCCATTCCACAGGTGCATTATTTTTGTTATGGTCAGTGATCTTTGACCATTAACTGTCATTTCAGTGGCTGTGCCTAAAGTTATAAAATAATGGAAATGCTGCACATGCTCATGCTGCTCATGCTTCACATGAGTAGTGAGACGTTCCTTTTTATCATGCTGTATTTTCACTTCCAAACAGCACCTCTCAAATGCATCTGTCCAGGACGTATTCCATAGCAAGAGCTCCATCATGGGACGGAACTTCACACAATGTCAAAACTGACAAGGACTCAAGTTTCAGAATTTCCACCGTCAACTGCACTGATTTCCCATAAAGAGTGCCTTCCTTTCTGGCATTCACGATCCATCACTAACTTGTTGGCAGATACTAGCAGTTTGTCCAACTTCCCAGTGAAAATCCCAGCTGGAGATTATACTATAGTATAGTACGCTAGTGACTTTTATTCCTTACTTTCCAAAAGAGAAGGGAAATTAATTCGTTGATCATTTATGATGTATACTGTAGATATATGCATGTAGAACTCTAATTCTAATTATACCCATATATATAAATTAAAATTACAATTATAAATGATAATTATATCAACTGGATGAGACTTGGGCAGCATTGTGGGGCAGTGGTTAGCCCCCTATAGCACTCGGGCCCTGGATTCAATTCCATACCTGTGTGAGGAAACAGGGTTTCCTCTCACAGTCCAAAGATATAATTGTAGTTTAATTGGCTTCTAGGAAAATTGGCCCTGATGTACTGTAAGTGTGTGTCTGTGTGTGCCCTGCAGTAGACCGGTGTCCCTTCCTGGGTGTATCCCGCCTTGTGCCTGTTGCCTGCCACGAACGACTCTGGCTTCCACATGACCCCAAATTGGAAGAAGTGGATAGATTAGCTGACATTCATTGCATTTCTAAATTAAAAGATGAACCCATACAGTGTGGAAGGAAAGTGTCACGTTCAACAACAAGTCAGAGCAAGATTTTCCCAAATTCCAGCCTTGATCGTGTTAGCATTTTATTATTCCCCATCAGGGTTGTCCTCCTTCACACACTTTTCCTCCTCCTAAACAAATCCTCCTTAACCTGAAAAAAAATTTAGGCGGCAGACCAGCTGCCTCGGATTTCACCTGCAGCCTTATTTTTCATTTTATTTCCCTCGACTCGAGTGAGAGCCAGAAAAAGAACACCATTCTAAAAACAGAACAGCCTTTCCTCTGTCTGTAGGGCTGGCGTTGTGTGTTTTGGTACTCGGAGCTACTAAACTGAGCATTCTGTCGTGATCCATTTCTTTAGAAATAAATCAAGTCAAGATCCACATTTTCACCAGCTGGTCAAAGGCGGGGATCACATCAAACCTTTCAATACTAATGAATAAGAGACATCACTATACAATGTCTTAGAGTACACTCGTTTGTTTATGGGACATAAAAAGAAGTTCGAGAAGGCTGGCTATTTTCATCCTGGTACTACCCTTGCAAGATTATCTAAATTACAAGATATAGTAATAAAACCGACCATCAACAAAGTGAATAAATCCATCAGCATGCTAGAGCTAGGAGGAGGAATCTGCCATGCTGCCCTGTTATTGTGTGTGAATTTGCAAGGCCACTGAGCAGAGATGTTCAGTGGGAAAGGGGTCAGATATACTGCTATTCCCCTTTCCGAACCACTTTCTCACCCCCCCTCCTTTATTAACACACCCTTCAGTTAAAACGTTTAAAGCACTTTAACCCTTGTGTGCTTGCTGTAGCCTCACTGGGCTGTTGCCATGGTGATACAGTGGTAACACAGGATGATGAGGTCTCATTATACTGCATTAGAAAAACAGGAGTGAATGTGGTGTTCTTGATAGAGAAGAAAGCAAAACAGCTAGCATTTTTGTCATCATGATAGCAAAGCATATCACGAATCAGACCTCTGCAACAGCATTAAGAAATGAAAATTAAGTTACTGGTCATCGTCGGCCAATAGCACTGCCATTTATTGACTATCTAGGCCGACATGTTACTGGTAGCAGGCGTGACTGATTGCCTTTTTCTCTCTCTGCTGTTGTGATTTTTTAAAGTTCTTGTTAATTATTCAAAGCCTACAGTATGCAAGAACAATGCCAGCTGAGGAAAAGACACAAGGCTGCATTTCAGACACTCTGGACTTGTACGTTATGACTAGCCTTTTAAACACAGGCTCTCCAAAAATCCCTCCATCAGTTTGCATGCTAATGGTGAACTTAAAATAGCAACTCATACTTACTGCTAGCAGTACGTCACACACGTTTCTTCTAGTTAGGAGTCTTTTGAACTTGTTCCTGAAGCACATTACAGAGCTAGTCATTTCAGGTCAAAATGTAGTCACCTAAATTTCTCCTCCGCTAACATACTGTACAGTAATACTAAGAGGAAACGTGACACTCATTTCTGATAATTTAATGTCACCTCATATGTCTGTCGGATGCAGACATGGCTATTCGATCTCCAGCTGCTGTTTCAAGCATAATGTTTAGTATAATAACAGTTCCCTGCAACACTGTTTAGAATTTGTACAATTTGAGTCTCCAAAGCACTTTCTGTAACTTTCTTTATATAACGAACTCTGCCCAGCGACACATGACGCATTTCAATCTGCAATACAGGCTTGAGGTGTCGCTGGTTCTCTTTCAGGAAAGCTTCTTTAGAGGTTTATATGTCAGCTAGAGTAAGTCAGTAAGTTAGAACTGTAAGGTTAAATGGTATTTTCCTCCTTGTAAGGTTAAACTAAGTAGAGTGTATTTGTATGCATTGTTTCTTTAATATTTTACAGTCCATGCTCCCCAGATATAAAAATCTCAAATTCTGACCTTGAAATTTAAGGAAGGCAAGCAGAACTGCTGGCTTTATAAAACAGAAGTGGTAAGACAGACTGGTCAAGGTACTGTAAAGTTATAGCCCTCTGGCAAGAGCCAACTGATATGCCAGGATTGTTTGGGTAACAGCATGGCCATATTCTGATTTATTGCCACAGTCCTTTATCTCTGATGTTAATCAAGCCAGTGTGCTTGCCAACTCCAGTAATGTGCTGCTGTTGATAGGTTTCACGCCAGGCTGGGCTTTTTGAAGAGTCTTGGTTTCCTCAGACACATGGTTGACAACCCACTCTACTGAATCTAGGCTGCTCTGTCAGCCTTCCTAACTAGGGAGCGTTTTTGTACAATTCCAGGTCCAAACTCCATCTACTATACCATGCAGGCCTTTCACTGTAAAACTTGTGCCAGAGGCAAAACAGTGAGTTAAAAGCTGTATTTCCTGTCGTCTATATTCCCAGGGGTGCGTGCTTTATGTGAGACGGGAGCCATTTTTGTGGGAACCTTGCTCAGCCATCAGAGCTGCGATTTGATTTTGGACAAATGTTCCGTGCAGCTTTTCATCTAAACCCACTTGGCTGCTTTGAGATCTAGTTTGTTAATCTGAGGCTGAACTCGCCAGTGTACTCCACTTGCCTCTGTGCGACGCAGTCAGACTCCTTAATCCGCACAGTTTGCTGAGGTGAAACATCGCCTCTGAAATCGGGACATGTAAGTCCTTACCATGATGGAGACAATGGAAAAAACGAATAGGGTGTGGTAAACACAGCAAAAAGCGTTCTAGTTACATAATTCTTGACCGTGAACTTGTCAGAGGACATAACTAAAAAATAGGCTGAACAGGTGAGAACCTGTTGGTTTTATTTTGATCAAATTCAGAAATATGGAGAACATTGTGGAAAGGGTTTGACATTCCTTCAGAGCTGTAGTGGAACACTCTATTTGTCCCTCCTGCATGCAGATCGCTACCCTGCGTAAAATTTCACAGTAGCAACCTTCGCTCTATTGCAGATACAAATATTACAGCACGTCTCGTATCCTTTTAATTCCTCCTTTTGCTAACCCGAATCCTGCTGGAACGGTTAAAGAACAAGGCGTATCTTTGCACGACACTGTACTATTTGTACATAACAGTAAGAGCTTTAGGGTCACTGAGCCCTGCTGGCTTCCTCTTGCTTCATGATACTGACCGACAGTGTTGTACTAAACAACACGCAAGGCGCTCTTACCTTTAGCTCAGTTTTGCGTTACTTCTCTCCTGTGAGGTGAGGCAAGGTGAGCAGCCTGTTCCTTCTGCTTCCGTCGTAGGGCGTCTGTTTAAATACAAGTCTGTGGCGTATGCTGCAGCAACAACTCCTTGGCAGGCGCATACCCACTTACATCATCGCCTGAGCTCGCTGGTTGTGACATCACAATCCCGAATTCTGAAAAGGGCCAGCTGCGCAGTTTGATTTGATTTCAACGCAAAAAAATAGGATCTAAAGCCACGAGAGACCGGAGTCGGAACCAGGCATCCTACAAAGCAAAAAATAACTATGCACCTATTTGTCCTTAGGGGTGCTAAAATATCCCCCATTTACTGAGGAGCAAAATCACCCTCAGTAGCGCTTGGAAAGCTCTACGTGAATGAAGAGACACGCCGAATGGCGTGACACACAGCAATAGCTGCAGAATCATCACAGAATCCCAACTTAGACAACAGACAGTATGGCACATACAAAGCTGCGCAGGATACGACACAGATTCTTGACAGTAAATTAAACCTCACTGTACATGAATTTCTGCCCCCTGGTTGAAATGTTTTGTTTCTTCAACAACTGAAGTCTGATGCTCTTGCTGCAGTAACTTTAATGTACAATTCTCAGTATGTAAACTGGAAAACAAGTTGTAGTCAAGATGACTCAAAACACAATAGACTGCCTCCTGTGCCGCTCCTTCTTAATAGATCGAATCATAAAGAAATCATCACGCTTTTATTCCTGAACAGGTTTAATATTCATTAACAGTACAGAACATAACTAAGCCTCAATATGTGATAGAAAAAATGAGAAAAAAATTTTTTTTGGCTCATTTGCGTCTGAATCAGGAAAGTCAAAGCAGGGAGAGATATACTATACAGAGACATGCAGCAAGAACTCCTTACACCAACAACACAGAAGATTCATACATGACATCTCTCTCCTTCAGCCAATCAGAAGCAGGCTTCCACCTGCTTGCTGGTGTCTAGCCAATGAGAACACACTGCCTCCACACTCTGGGGGCCTCTCAAAGTCCAATGGGAAACAAGCTCTACCACTTAGCTGATGATGCAGCTGCATTAGGAAGTCTATCACATGCAAGTTGGAAAACTGCCAACATGGAGTCACCAAGAGAGCAAGGTAAACAACTTTCCTGCTACACAGCCATGACATTTAGGCCCCTGGTTCTGCTTTCAGGGGCAAACTAATTTGCAAAGGCATAAACAGAATCCCCAGCACTTAACCAGTGCAAGAAAACCAGGGAGAAACAGGAAGAGACAACCGGTCTTCTCTCACTCTCCAAACAGAGAAATAAAGATCACTGCGTCACCACTTCTGTTTCCATTAACTACGCAGCAACAAATCTCAGAGCTAGAACTCTTTTAACCCCGCAGCAGCAGAAGCAACAATAGCCCCGAGTCTCCCTGTGACCAGGATGATTAAATAACCTCATGAATTACACTGGAGATGTCTGGATCAGCCCGAATCTGTCAGAAACAGCAAAAACCGATCGCCTGAAAGCGTTCGTTACGGTACGCCCGGATTTCGATTCGGTGCGCAGCCAAAGAAAAGATGCCCATGTACCCTCCCCACGTCCCTGTTCAGAATGCCGCCCTTCCCCACCCATACAGTCAGTCGTTGGTCCCAGAAAGAGTTAATCGTAGGGAAAAATCAGAAAAAACAAGACAATGCATGATCCCTTGTTTACAGGAAAACATCATCACTTACCATACTGTTATACGTCCTACAGGAAAATAACAGGCCGGCAGCAGTAGGTTAGGTGGAGAAATACATTAGCTTGTGCCTCTGTATCATCTAGGTGACAACTGCCTATATATAGATTTCTTTCCTACATATGTATATTTGCTCCCTATTCCCCATCACTCTCTATGTACAATGTAAAATACAAGTGTTAGTATTCTGTATAACCTAGATTATTCTCGATTAATGCTCCCCCTGCGCTCTTCGTCTCATCAAAAAGAACCTTCCAGAACAACCGTTCTTGCGTTAACCCTTCGTTCCGCGCCCCCTTCCCTCCAGCGCCTCAACATTTGCCTCCGACCGAGGTAAAGTACGTCACATCTTCAGCATCCTTCTTACAACTCCGCAACGCTATTCCTGACGTGGGTAAGACCGACGGTGAGACAGTAAAACACCCAGAATAAAAGTAAAGTAGAAAAGAACGAAAAAGGAAAAGGCAAAAAAAGAGATATTTTTATGTGCCGTCCACTCTCAGGTAGAAAGCCACAGGACTCCGAGCTCCTGGTATCTTAGCTGCTTTTTCCCCTCGACGTGAAAAAGTGACGTAGCGACTAATTCAAATTCTCTCTCTCTCCTTCTATCTCTCTCTATTTTCATCTAGCTGCAGCAACAGCAGTATTGCTCTTTCAGACATCAACAGAGCCAGTTCTCTCCGACACACGCGCACACACACACAAACAGATACACACACACACACACTCACAATCTCTCTCCCTTAGTGTGACGCAGCACTTAATTCTCCAGGCTTTCTCCCAGTGTTGTAGCTACACAACTGCAGCTCCTTGAAAAACTCAGGCCAGCAGCACACTGCCGCACAGACACACACAGCCGGAGCTACTCTGTTAACAGGCCGCAGCCACCTCTCTCTCCGCTCCCTCCCTCTCTCAGTGTCACCCTTTAAACCAGGTCTCTCTCTCTCTCTCTCTCTCTCTCCCTCTGTCTCGTTTTCTTTTTCTCTCCCTCGCTCTCTATCTGTCTCTCTGTACTGCTCACAGTTGCACTCGGCTTCTCCAAGCTAACTGAGCCGTCTGTGCCTCCTCAGTCACCTGACAACCTACTGGTTTTAAAGGCACATTGTCCCCATTTGTAACAAAACAAAAACAAAACACAGAAAAAACAAAACAAAACCGAGAAGGAAGGCTCGACCTGGGCTTGCTGTTAACCCTCCTCAGCCCTCGACACAAACCAGGAGCTGCTCTCCAGCTGTGCAACATCTGTGTACATGCTCACAATCTGCACACTACCTATGCAACAGGGAAGTGAATGAAAATGTTAAGATGATATGATGGCAGCAAAGCAAAACTTCAGAGAAGCTGCCTATTCTCTACCCAGCACAATCCCTGGATGCATTGCTCCCGTTATTGTTATTCAGCCAAACTTTTCGTGGATGCAATCCCCCTTTCCCATTCCAAACTAAGCAAGACGTGGGACAGAAAAGATGCCATAACTCACTCATCAAGTCTTCTTCTGTTCCTTCTCAACAGTTTTGGGACACCTGTTCTTCCAAAACTGTTTTAGTGTCAATAACCACTTACAAAGCTGTTATTATTATGGACTTTTTCAGGTATTTTTTTTAGAACAGTGAGCTGGCACACCTCTGTTTTATGACCACATATTACTGCGGTTTCTTCCAAACAACGCTTCCTTTAAATAGCAATTCAAGTATGGTATTTTATTTGGTCTGTGTATGATTATAGAACTTGGTTACAATAAATACTCCAAAGACCGCATCAGACACTGAATTATTAATTCGGTCAGTCAACAATTTCCCTGTTCTAACAATTCCTAGCAATGTATTAGTGAATTTATTTACTACCAGGTTTTGAGCAGGGACATTTCAGCAATGAGACAACAACTAAAAGTCTGCTTTTCCAAATCTGTAATGAATTATAATACTATCGGGCAGAAAAAAATGTTGCAAAGCCTTATACGCCTCCTCAGTAGAAACACGTTCTTTTACGATGAAAATATTATATAACATTAGTCGTTCAGCTTTGTTTTCCAAGGGGTAATTTCAAGCCTTAAAAGACAGAATGGGAAGTTATGTTGTTGCTAGTACTGTAGTTTTAAAAACCTCAGACATAACCAACTTGTAATAGCACTCCATTTCTCTCATGTTCTCCTAATGTTCTTTCACATTACTTTCATTTCACTGGTACTGGCCCTGACACCTCAAGGGTGGATGGGAATTGGAGTTCTTTGAGAAACGGAGATAATGCACAAGATATGATCAAGACCTCCAGAGCAGTGTCTAACCCTGGAATAGAGGTTGGCCAGTTCAAACCACTTTGACCTTCTGAGTGTACGGTAGGCTTTTTCAGTGACTCTTTTGCACTGTTCTCCTTCCCAGTGTTAATGGGATAAAGCTAGATCCATTGAACACAAATTCATTGTTAACCCTTTCAATCCTTTGTGTGCATAATTTAGAATTACTGTGGACCACTAAGAGCAGTGTTCAGTCTAGCCATATACTGCACACTATGAGAAAACACATCCCCATTCTACATTTGTGGTTCCCATAAGACGGCCAAAGTACTGAATAAGATTTTAAATGGCATATATAAATATATCATAGGGTTTCCCACTGCAGGGTTTGAAATTCTCATTCAAGACATGCGATGAGATAAGTGTGTTGTTTTCAGTGCACGCATTGGTGTAGTTCCTATGTGTCTGCTTATCTGTTGGCTGTGTTTGCAGAACACAGTCTTGACAGACAGGGATGTGAAGTTGGGACATAATTAGGATGAAGACTGACATGGCCATATAAGGATTTTTCTAACCTGATACTCTGAGTAAGAAATCTAGTATAATTGAGATCAAATGGCTATGGTTGACTTCTCACATTCGCACAACACAAGTCGCCAGATTTCTGCTTCTGACTTTATGCAGGTTTTAGAGCACATTTGAAAAAGTACAGTAAAGGATGCAATATATCTGTTATGAATAATTACTGTAAATAACTAAGAATATTTTTATCTTTTTATGTAAATTGGAATCAGCATTGTATCCTAGTAATGTGCTGAATGCAGCTATTTGGTCTGCGTTTTTACAAGAGGCCCAGGAGTTAAGACAGAACTGTCCTGAAAAACTACTCAGACGTGATCTATTTTTATCGTTTTAGAACACATTTTGATCCCATGAAAGTTCACCGATACTCTTAAAAGGGAAAACCAAACTGATTGGGTGTGAAAAAATATTGAAATTATTAATGCTGTCTGGTATCAGCTGATATCTTTTGCATTTAAGAAGTAAAAGAAGATACACAATGACCTGAAATTTACATTTCCCACAAAAAAGTCTGAATAGTAAAAGCTGGTTGAGGATTTTCTAAGATGTTTTTGTGTGGTATGACAGGAAGAGGGAGAGGAAACAACGTTTTCACAGTGTCAGCCTTGGGATATTTTTGTGCGGGCAGAAATTAGTCTTATTTTTCTGGTCCTTTCAGCATCTTTGTGGGGGTTTGTCTATGAGACTTTAATCCTCTAGAAGTATCCAAAAAAGGTGATGAGGTAAGAGGCATTTGAATTTCTGAGTCCTGAGCTGCACAGTGCAGGTTCCACCACACATTGTACAAATTACTGTCAGCTATTTATAGTGGCCTCAGCAACAAGATTTCTTATCATGTGCATCCCAAGGTGAATTTTCTTTGCCTAGATGCAGGAGGAAAATGTTTGTGTTTGAGAGAAAAGCACACCGTGAAGCCGAAAGCACTGCACTGTCGTTTGAGGATGACTTAGCAATTTAGCAACGAAAGGTTCTGGCACAGTGAGGGGGTGAGGGTTTTGATCCTCTCGCTCACGCACAGGTGGAATGAATTTGGAGGTACTGGGTCAGTTTGTTCCTGTGATATGGGGGGAATCACAGTTTTTAATGGGAATTTCCAGTCGCCGCAAGGAATGGCTGGGGAATAGAGACTGAATTGTTTTGTTACTCTTCAACAATGAATAATGCCACCACCACCCCCTCCCCATTCTGGTGCACGTTTGCAGTCCTCTGCAGAATAACGAGCACAAGCCAAAGCTTTTGCCGCAAAAAGCCATAGGAAAGAACGAGGCCGTTTTCTCTCTTTTCCTTTTTTGTTGCCATGCTTTCACTCTCAGAGCATCCCTGCAAAGCCCCATGATGCAGCTCTCCCCCCCCCCAGCAGTGTTTTGGTGTCCTGAAATGCACTGGCAGGCTGTGAGTGAGAGGCAGTCACAGAGGAGGGGGACGGGGGAGAAGGGAAGGGCTGGAGGCAGTGGAGACAAGCACAAGGTCAGGTGAGCCGTGCCGGTGCCTCCAGGAATGCTGGGAGGCAGGTGACACCACCGCAAAGAAGGTCTAAGCTTCTTACAGATTAGAGCTCCTAATTTAACTGGAGGGGTGAGCATTCATGGAGATAATGAAAAAGGCAGCCTCCAGAATCAAACGGAAGAATGAAACGCTTCCAGCAACCGGATGGGAATGCTTTTCCGTGCGCCACAGGAGCTAAACGCTCAGCATTCGATGTGATGCTTGCCGATTTGACAGCACCTTGGTGTTCAAGTAAAAAGAATAAATAAAGATAAGGCAGCCGTTAACACGGCTGACTTTCCTCTTATTTACATCGGCATCGTAATCCACTACTCTCCGTCGGAAACTACCTGGGGATAAGGCCCTTGCAAGTACTGTAAAAAGACGTATGTTATAGTTCACCCCACTTTCAGAAACCACATCAAACAGCTTCTCTGGCCACCGAGCCATTTCCCTCAATTGTAACTAGAGTAAACCCTGGGACTTTAAAATGCTGATTTGCTGTGTGCTTAGACAAAACACACTCTGTGCTGCCCGAGTTCAACACTGAAGCATCTCTGTAGTGCAACGTCTGTGTGGGCCTTCACAGACAGACTGGGCAACAGCAGCAGCACGTCTTCCAGCCTTCATAGGCCAGCCGGGAAACAGCTGCTCCGTCTCTCTCAATGAGCTTCCCAAACCACAAGTGTCTGACTCTTTAGCGCTAACCGGTGGCAGGAAGGAGGACTTTTTTCCCCTCTGTAAGCCAGTCCGCTGCTGTTTTTTTTACAAACACCGGGCCTTGTAACACTCCTTAAACACAGACGCTGCCAGGTCCAGCTCGGATGTTTCCACCTTTATTTTCCTTTTATTAAAAAAAAAAACCTAAACGGCATTACGAACGTTTTTCGGCGCCGCGTGCTCTGGTTCAAAATGTGCAGAAAGAATGAGCGTGTATCCGTTTTGGGAGAAAAAAAAAAAGATTCCCAAAGGCACAAATCTCTGACGTTGCTGTGGTTTTATTCCCACTGCTGCCTGCTGGAGTGGCCTTGTGTGTTTGACTAATGGGAGGAGCAGGGAAATTGTTGACTGAAGAATCAGCCTCCAACCTGTTCTGTTCTGCCACTGACAGCCTTTGGGAAATGCAAACTATTCGGGCAATCAAAGCCGGTTATCCTGCATCACAGTGGGGGGGGGGGGAGGGGGAGCTTAAATTATCAAGAGTAATTGATAAGAGTAGTATCAAGAGTAACAATAGTGGGCAGGAGAGGGTACATTTAAGTGAATGGATTTTCAACCTGGTGGTTATGCTCTGAAATTGTACAGCCTGCAGGACAGACGTTTCTATTTTAGGCCATGTAATGTCATCATCCATACCTTAAGCGATGCCTCGACAGTAGGTAGTATTAAAGAGACATTCACAAGTATTAAGTGATGAAGGCTGTAGTTTTCTTTTGGAGGGCGGGGGCTCAAGTGATAATGCAGTATGCTTCACACTGTTCCTTCTGCTGTCTATTTATACTCCATCATTCACTAGGCAGGGTGTTAATTTTAGCAGTGTCATCTCTCGGCAGTATTCCTCTTCCTAAACCTTAATCTCCTGCAGAAGAGGAGCGGCGTTCATTTTGAAAGCCCCAGTGTTGGCGCGTGACGCACGAGTCAGGCTTATGTTCCCTAGCCTCTGCAACCCTGGCTTTTTTTTTCCCCGTCCTCCCAAATTTCGAGTGCCTGTGCTTGCGACACCCGAGACGCCAAACAGACGAAGGACACAACGGCCACTTTTTACTGTCGCGTTTCCGAAAGTTCAGATTGTTGGTACCCACGATCGCTTTGGGAAGACCACCACATGGGCACCCTAGTAGCCTCTTCCTCAACGTCCTTTGCTGACGCACTTACTAAATCAGGCAGGGAAGGTGAATTTGGCAAAGTCAGAGGACCTGGTTTAACATAAAACCATCAAATCAACCAGAAAGTAGAAATCTCTCCTCTCATAAGTACTGTATTACTACATCGTATTTATCATTAGCTGTGCACATGGCAGTGGAATTCAGAACGCAAGTGCATGTTGAATCATAATAGAAATGCAAGCTGATGTTTATACGTATCACATCTGTTCTTATTTCTATGTGTTAGTACTTACTCATTGAAGTGCTCTTTTGGTTTGAACTTTTAAAACTTTCTCTTGATTCTCAGTTGCCCGTGGCTCACAGAGCTCCGCAGTTTACATGCAGAACATGACGATGCCAGTATCAGACTGACCTGGCAGAGTGCAAGAGCTCGAATGTGAAAAGGCACGCAGTCCTACATGAGAGGACTGGGGCTGAACAGTAACAGTGACACCCAGTGATGGTAAAGATTAGTGCTTTCATTTTATTATGGTTTTTTTGGGGGTTAAAATCAGTGTGTGTATAAGCTTACCTCAAGGCCCAGCCTGCGTGGTTATTCAAGACTTGTCTCCTGTTTCTTATTTTGGAAAGGGAATAATTGTCACAATTCAAAACAATCAACAACTTTAAAGTTGAAAAAATTCAAAACGCTAAACAAGGTGTTAAAAATGGGCTCATAAAAATGAGACACTTCTTAAGTCTGTTGCAACCCAGACTTTTATTCAAAATCTCAATTACGTTTAATGAACAACCAACCAATTAAGTGATAACTGGGAAAATTACGTTTTTAAGTGAAGCCCATACGAAGATCTACAGAGTAACAGTAAGATCACAGAGTAACAGAGTAACATCAGGAATAAAAACTTAAATACTAAATTCTACTTACCTGCTTTTGGATGATGATGATGCTTTCATAATTTCAAAGGAGTTTGAAGCTGAAAGTGTGTAACAGGGAAAAATGTAAATCTTTGTTTCTAACAAATTTATTCACTGACTGACTTAAAGCTAAGTCAAGACTGAAAACGATGTAATACAGAAGGAACTTTACTGAATCCCCAAAACACTTGGGAAACACTATTTGTATACATTCAGCTCTTACATTGCACTATTAGTGAAACAAAGTCTCAGGGTCTTCATAGTTAAAAGATGAAGCGCTTCTGATTATCCAGACACACCCGCACCTGCGTATTCGTTTAAATTCATGTATGTGTACGTTCACATACCGCAAAGGCAAAGGTGGTTGGCAAGCAATTTCGAGGTACGACATATTTCTCATTCTAGGAAAAAAAAACGTGAATCTGTAAATCAATACCGTATATAAGCAGTGTGCTTCTGATGTTTGGTTTCTCTCTCCATCGGAGTGTTTTCAGTGCGTGCGCAGGATGGATGAGGACGCGGCTCTGAAATGCGTATGTGAACCACAAGCGCACACTCGGTATATAAACTGCGTATAATATCCTCACTGCCACGATACAGCGCTCTCCATCCACTGTGACGCAGCCCTTCAATGTGCTGAACTGCCTGAACTGCATCTGATCGACCACCTTCCTCTCTCTCCCCGTCTCCGCCACAGGCTGTCGCGTTGGGCAATCCTTCACAAGGCTTTTTATCCTCGAAGGCCCGTTTTCTGCGCACTTGCCCACATCATACGCAGGTAGAAATACCCTTACAGCCGGATCTTTCTGGTTTCTCCACCGCGCAAAGCCCAGCAAACTGCCTTTTAAGATTCTGTTTCGAAACCACACCTCGCAACCCTGCGTAAGTGGCTCATGAATTATTTCACCCACAATAAGACTATTAATGATAAAAAAATATAATTGGATTAAATATATCCGATTACAATATTAACATAAAATATGTGAAAGTTTAATGTTCGCATTAAAGAAAATACGTAAACACACAATAAAAGCTACATGTATAAGAAGCATGACGTATGGACGCAGGACAGCTCAGTCTCACTAAGGAATACCGCATCACTTCCTATAGACGAAACTATAGACTCACCTTGATAAATGAACTATGGGATCAGTGTCCCTTTTCTCAGTTTGTGCGTCTTTCTTTTTTAGTTTGTTGAACTGGACTGTCACCTGCTCCGTTCCTGTCTCTCGAATTCCATTATTTTCAATCTTGAATCATCTCTCATACCCCCCCTCCTCCTTATTACAGAATCCCTATCGATTTTTCCACAGCTTAATAGTCGAACCCCGCCCCTCCCACACTATCCCGCTGTCCGATTGGCCGGCCTCTCAGCAACTTCTTGCTCTGACGTCACAATCACATGCGGTTGACGCATGTTTACAAACATTTGATAGAATCACGTGGTTCTGGGAACCATTTACCGTAAAGTCCATCACACTCCGCCTTCACATTTTTGTAAACATCAGAATCCGCGGCAATCTAGTTCAACTGGTCCGTTTCCCAAATTTTAAGCATTCCGGAGACAATGCCAGCATAAAACTAGGTATATTGAGCGTATGTAACGATACTCAATGTAATATATACGTATGAAGAAAGAGAATTAGGTTAACATCGTTGTTACATTAAAATGTGCAATGGAATACTTACCCGAGTGTAACACGAGCATTAAATGTATTGCATCATTCCCAGGTGTTTTTCCATTGTGTCTAAGCATCTGCATTGTTCGGTGTATTAAGTCAATTAGCACTGTACAATAAAAGGATGTAGGGGACCCGTTTGTAAAACCAAAGAAATAAGATGCAGTTAAAACTATACGAGGATTTAAAATAGGACAGTTTTCTTGTTACTTCACCCTCTAAGGACGTCAGTGCCCGTCAGAATTGCCTTATGATGAATAATCGATCATAAAAAATAGGTTTAAATGTTGCATTCTGAGTCACTATTTACAATAAGTGGATTGTACTCGCAACCGCTCTTCAACCTTGATGCGCGGGGCACAGAGCGAATGACACGGCGCTCCGACAGTTCTGGAATGAGCTGGCTCTCTCCTGTCCTGTGCGTGGGGATGTCAAGTCCCTTGTCCAGGGACAGGAGCTGCAGTGGGCTGTGGAAATTTCCGCTAAAGGCAGGGCTGTGACTCTAAGACGGTAATGACGCAGCTCGCTGGTTCTGTTAGAGTAAACCCTGCAACAGAGCACCCAGGTTGCTTGACTGCGTCAATGCCAGGTCCTTGGTTTCGGCCGCTTTTAGTTGAAAAATTGGCTATTCTTCCGTAACCATTGCGTTAATTCGCTTTTGAAAGCAAGTGTGTTTTTTATGAGGTGGTGTTCAGCGAAACTTGTCTTCCTGATTTATAAGTTTTTTACATATACCTAATTGATGTTATTACTCATATTAATATAGAGATTCATTTCTATTTCACAATTAATCCCATTTTCCTCCAGTCCACTCATCATTATTATTTTAAGTCTCGAAGCACAGCTAGAGTTACTGGTACTAGAAATACAAGCCTTGCCAGCAGTTTGAAGCAGTAAAGCGCATAAAACAGGAGAGGGCAATATTGTATCAGGAATTGAACATCGTCTTTAATTGTTCAACAGTCATTGGTAAGAGATCTCACATGGGGAAAGTGCATATACTGTACCAGGTACTGGCTTTATTCTGTTAATAATAAAAAACAAAACAATTTACCAAAAACAAAACATGATGGTTTACATACTGCTGCTAATCATGTCTGCATATAGTGAATTATCATGTGATCCGAAGGAACAGTTTGAGACTATTCAGAACGGGAATACCTGGCACTTGATAATAATTACACTTATATAGCACTTTTCTGGACACTCCACTCAAAGCGCTTTACAGGTAATGGGGACTCCCCTCCACAACAGCCTACCTGGATTATGCGACAACAGCCAGTGGGGAGGAGAAGAAAGTGATGAAGTCAGTTCTTAGATGGAGATTATTAAGTGGCCATGATTGGTAAAGGGCAATGGGAAATTTGGCCAAGACACTGGGGTAACACCCCCAACACTTTTCAAGGAATGCCCTGGGATTTATGATGACCACACAGAATCAAGACCTCAGTATTAATTCCTATCTGAAGGATGGCTCCTTTTTTATAGTATTGTGTCCCCATCACTATACTGGGGCATTAGGACCCACATGAACTGCAGGGTGAGCACCCCCCGATGGCCTCACTAATATCTCTTCCAGCAGCAACCCTAGTTTTTCCCAGGAGGTCTCCCATCCAGGTACTGACCAGGCTCACACCTGCTGAGCTTCAGTGGGTTGTCAGTTGTGAGTTGCAGTTATAGCTGCTGGTAGTCAATACCTCAAGTAGTAGAAAGTACCTAAAGATAAAGAACCTTTAAATGTATGGTTGCTTTGACAACACTGAGCAAAACCTTCTTGCGTGTGAGCATTAATTTGTGAGATGGATGCAAGTAGCAACAGTATACTGTACTGTATTGTATGTCTGTTGTACACACACTGACAGAGAAAGAACTGAACCTTTTTAGGCTAGAACAGAGAAGATTACGAGGGTTGTTAATACTGTACAAGTATTTTATATCCAATTTCATTGGAAACGGTCTGGTCTGCTAGTTTACAAGTGTCAGGAATAATCTATGTGCTGAATCATTCCACAACTCTTGACAGGACAGGATCCCTACTTTGGATTATGTAATCATCACATATATACATATAGCTCACACCTGAAGAAGGCTCCACGGCCGAAACGTTGTGTTTTCTTTCTTATTTTTTTCAGCATGGAATAAACCTATTACTTGTTCATATATACATATACTGTACATAAAATCTAAATTAAGAATGAGTTTTGCTAGGCTCGTTTTAGCTGAACAGTTTAACTAACATACATGTTCCAAATCACATAACTACTGTCATGAAGGAAAGATGGGAAATTTAAGTGCCTCATAGTGAAGGGAGAAAATACCTTTTCAGACTATAAGAGTGTCTGAGAACACCAGATACAAATTCACACAAAGATTTCCAAAAATTAAACAAGACTGTCGCATCTGTTGGAGACCATAGATAATAAAAGGGCTGATCCTTGACATTGTAACAGTAGAAATCAGGAGAAAATGTTTTCCAGATTCCTCTTGTTTTCTTTGCAGGCTTTGCAGGGAGACTCCTCTCGCATTAAGAGGAGGTCTAGTGTTGATTTAATGACATCACAAAGTACTGCCTTGGAGAACATTCAGCGTATTCGCCGTTTTATGTTCTGTGTGCATCTTTAAGAAAAGCAAACAACAATGACGGAAGGCGTTTGCCCAGTTAAATTGAGACCACTCTGGTATATTCATTGTAGCAGCAGTAGTGGTCTAGTTATTGTAGAACACTTTGTGACTCTCCTGAAAGTGGGTGGAGGAGTAAATTTTTATGTTTGTATTATTTTAGAAATGCTTTTTCTTTTTCACGAAATCCGCTCTTGCTCTTGACAAGAAACCCTCAGCGTCACTCATATGCCTATATACATGTGTAAACAGGAATTTGCATGTCTGTAATAAAGAGTGAATAATGCGCAAAGGGTATGTTTAACTGTCCTACTGATCTTTGAAGGTCTTGAAATCCACTTGTCATGTGAAGGATGAAGAACCATGTGTAATGTTTTTTTTTTGTTTGGGATTTTTGAACAATCGGGTTTCAGGTCTAAAAATATAACCGTTTCCGACGTGTTACAACAAGTGAAAGGAACCAGTTGAAGTGAATGGAAATTGGAAATAATATTCTTCCGAAACACATATTAATTGAAACAGTTGATGGGGCCTAAGTGTGTTACAGTGTTACAGAAGGTGATTTAGACACAAATTTGTTTTTCTGAAGTGCTCCTCCCGTCTGGGATAGATGTGTCACTGTGTGCTGATATGACTGAAGTTAAATGGATTTCATTTCAGCACGGATCTCATCCTGGGCCCCCTGGGAGAGAAGATAAGTCCTGTGATTAAGATCTTATTTGACTGCGGGAGGGGGCTGTGTGACAGAGATCTGATGTGTTCATCACAGAGCAGCACTGTAATGTGACACAGGTGTAGCTGCCTCAAAAATGTTTATTAAAATCACACTCCAGGGCGATCAAGCATTCAGTAGCATGGGAGTGGACTCACACCTACAGTACACAGCATACGATATATGGAATTAAAACTGCAGAGCACACGATGTTGATCGTAAAATCTTCCCTTATCGTATTTTAGACATGACAGGTTTTAAAATGTGGTGGCGAAGGCCTGTCGTGTGTCATTTGGTATATGTGTGAGCTGTGATTTATTTTTATAGCACAGTCTTCAGTGCTGGCTGTGTAGTGGTTGGAAAATGTGTTGTATTTACACACTCATGTGCCCACATCAGTCCCCAGGGACCCCCCTGGATGCTTTTCACTCACAGGATCAAGCTACACTCCGCTGATTCTGGATTTCAGTCTATGATCCCGTTCAGAGCTGAATCCTGACTGGATCTGTTGAGAATTTACTGGAAGATAAAAATGACGTATTCAGATATAACCTCAATTTGGCTGATGATGCATTCTTGGCCAGGCTACTGTACAATCTCCAGTTTAAAACCTAAATCTTGCTGATCTTCTAGACAGGGAGTGCATGCATTTGTGTAATGCCCTGATCTCCAATGGGATGAAAAGAGCTCTTCCTAGGGATTGAATCTGCAAGCTTTGCACAGCTCCTATGGACAACGGCTGTCACATTTACAAGCTTGGACCTGAGCCCTGCTTGCCAGCTCATTCCTGTTTGCGTAAGCGAGTGCTTCTTCAGGACCAGGTGTCACCCATTTAAGGAGCTGTGCTTGTGCCTAGAGATCTTAAAGTGCAGGCGAATTTGAAAACAGGGTAAAATAATCTTGATGCCCTACTACGTACAGGTGCCTACCCTACCAGATTTCTATCCCTGTAGGGATATACAAGCATTCTATCAACATGCTACGGAGCCTGTCAGGCTTATGGTCATATCCAATTACACTCTTCCACACCATAAAATATTATCCCCTTTCATGTCCATGGTGCTGCACATATAGTAGTAAGTTCATAGTGCTGTTCATTTT